TGACTAGCAATAAGCAAAGCTGATAATGACATCAGTCTACGTGAAGTTAATCAAAGCTAAGCTCGACCCAGCTGAACATACGCCTAAATATCATCAGTATACATATGGGCATCATAACTCCCCAGGACTTAATGAAGTGTCGAGTGCATTACTTCCGTTCCAGAACGCACTCATACGAGCGCCATTTGTAGCTGCAGTGAGCGCTAGAGTTCAGCCGAGTTCAAAGAGCATCCACTGACGCATACGGGTAACTCAGCCATTCATGAAGCGAAAATCGGAGAAATGCATAACGGAGCAGGACCAAAGTGCGTTGCATCAAATAACCATGCATGATGAAGTCAGTGGTACGTGTTCCGTATGAACTAACAGCTAACTCTGAACGCTAACAGTCTATTTAGGACAGAAGACGAGTGCTTTCTTGAGTTAAGATTGATGATCAAAGGCGTTCACTATGACACTTCGGTTGGTCTCGCCGGCAAAATAAATGTCCGTTTGAATGAAAGAGTCCCCGGAGCAGTTTATCACAGACTCGTTTTGACTTGGTGCATGGGGGCTACAGCCTAGCATTCCGAGCAACAAAATGAACCAATGGCAAATATTTATACAGTATGCTTACAACCGACGAACTATGCAGCATGAATGCTATACAATGGGAAAAATGCCTCTCATGACTGATGTAAGGATTATCGGGAGTGCGAAGAGGAGTATAACGATCTCCAGCGTCCGGTCAGCACGTGCTCAGAAAACTCCTCGACCCCGATCTTCTCCCCTCTACCCCCTCCCTCACCCCCAACCTCGACCCCGAGCCGACCGTGGGATGAAGGCTGGCCTCTCCGGCGCCGCAGGGATCACATCAATCTCCCCTTAGACTGCAGAGGCGGTCAGCAACCGCCCGGACGAGACGGTGCTCGGTGGGTTGGTGGGGCGGTGGGCGGCGGGTCGGTTCGGCGAGGCGTTAGGGTGGTGGCGGATCTGTAGTCTGTCTGGGCGGTGGGCGGTGGGACGGTGGTAGAGCGGTGGGGTGGTGGGCGGTGGGACGGTGGTAGAGCGGTGGGGTGGTGGGCGGTGGGTCGGTTCGGCGAGGCGTTAGGGTGGTGGCGGATCTGTAGTCTGTCTGGGTGGTGGGCGGTGGGTGGTGGTAGAGCGGTGGGGTGGTGGGCGGTGGGACGGTGGTAGAGCGGTGGGGTGGTGGGCGGTGGGCGGTGGTAGAGCGGTGGGCGGTTGGCGGTGGGCGGTTGGCGGTGGGCGGTGGGCAATGGTCGCGGTGGGCGGCTGGGCGGTGGGCGGAGCGGTGGACATTGGGCAGCGAGCGGTGGCTGGGCAGTCGGACGGTGAGGCGGTATTCTGGCGGGGGTCTTTAGTCCGTGGTCCACCGACGCTTTGTAACTTGTTAGGTCGGTGCTTTCAGCTGGGAAACTCTCGTCGGTCGCGTGGTCGACTGTTGGATCGTTAGAACGGGCAACAAGTCGGCGACGCTGCGGGCGATAAAGCTGTGACCTTTCCGCGGCGACAAGACGACCTTTCCGCGTGTGTACCACCACGCAGCGGCTTCCCGTGTTTTCGCTTGTGTCTGTTACCTAATGGCGGCACGATTCAAAGACGTTGTTGCTCCATCGAAAACGCTGAAAGGTCGGTGGCCGATTAGTCGGCTCAGTAAGATCCATCCACGCAGTCGGATGCATTTCGTGTTTCCTGTTCTCCCAACTTCAACCAGTTGGGAGATCACAGAGCGCTGAGCGCACAACAGAAGGCGCCGCTCTGCACCACCGCACATTGCACAACCCGTCTTCACATAACGTACTTAGCGCTGTACGTCAGGCGCATAGCAGTTACCACGTTATATCCACGCGGCAGATATAATGAATGCGACGTCGTGCCTCACACCGGCTGTTATTCCCGCACAGAATGGCGCAACGTTAGTAAGGCCCGACCGAGCAGATTTTGAGTTGTGGACTGTTTTCTCCAGGGAGAACACAAAGTTTGCCACCGCCCCTGTGCAGTGCGCCAAAGACGAACCGCCGCAATGCCGCATACATAATGCATATGCATATGCATGCCGGGCATAGCTGACTACTGGGGGCGGTAAATATTGTATGTGAAGAGACCCTTGTGCGCTATTAAGGCGAGATCTTTCCGGGCCGGGTCGCCCATTTCTTGGATGAATGGTCAGTTTCGTCCGCGGCGGGTCGTTGAGACGCCTCTGAATCTGCATTCCGCCTCGAACTAGAATCCTGCACGGGAAGAATAAGTCCAATTGCTTTATCCACTTTCATTCTTCCATGCCTTGGTTAGTATCAGCAAGGCGGGGGAAAGCATAGCCAATGTTATCCTTACTCATAGCGCCAACGCGCTCCCCCAAGACCAGGAGATCTCCGTTTCCCCAGCACCCCAGGGAGAGGCGATTGGTGTACACATGATCTGCCAGGATCCAGGCCGGCTCTCCCGTGTCTACAGGGATCAATGGATGAGGATGTGTGCCCAGGAATTGCTGCGAACACAGACGGATACCGCGAACAGCGCCCTGAGGGTGGGGTCATGTGGTCACTGGCTGGGAAAAGGTTGTACATATAGGTGAGGGCAGTGATGTGATTGAAACATTCACAAGAGAATGAGATAGGATATAACGGATAACTGACCCATTAGTCTTCGGTGGTTTATCATACTCGTATATGTCCACCTGTGAACTTGAATGGCAGCCATTTAACATCACAAATAGGTATTATTGCATAATGCAGCATGAATATGCTGAGAGGTGAGGTGAGCGGAAACATCCTGTCATCAAGTCAGCGAAGTGCACGTTTAGCAGTTTGGGTTAAGCGACCATTATAGCAGGGCTCATTTAGGGCAGTTCGCACGGCTCATTCGGGGCAGTTCACAGTGAAATGGAGAGGATATTAGTCTTCCGCTGATGACGGGGCAGCGTCTGGCGGCCGTCGTTTGGAGGCCGGCCGAGTGGGGTCGTCTCCCACCGCCGCTATAGCCGCTCACTTCTCTCCGTCTCCTTCAGTGCCGTTCAGGCCAGATTAGGAGACCCGGTTAGAGCCATTCAGTCGCCGCTATGAGACGGCCGAGCTGTCCGCGGGCGCGGACCGACATTCAACCTCGGCGCGCTGGGACGGTCCGACTGAGACGGTCCCAGACGCTACCAAAACGGTTCGTGCTCACGAATACGGCCCGTGAACGGGAGCTTATTCGGACCATGGGCCGCCGAGGCGGAGGGTGGGTGGGTGGACTTGATGGGGAGGCGCTGAGCTCAGGCACACGCTGGGGTCGGCTCTGGTATGAGGTCAGGTGCTCACAATGGTGGAGGCGGGGTCGGGGTCATCAGCAGTCTCGGCTCCATGTCGAGCGAAAATGAGGACGGATTGACCAATGATGAGGTGCTTTTATTTCACGATGAGAGCGTAACTGGCCGCTTTTGCACAAAATGAGTGCTAAACGTGGCCAGATGACCGGCTCAACGGCTCAATTCGGACTACCGTTACGTCCAGGTGCATTAATCATCGCTCGGTGGATCATCGCTCAACCCTTTGACCCTCTTTGTAGCCATTTATATTGCGCTTTACATTCACTCGCCGCTAATGCTGCACTGTCAGAGAATACGACGCCCAGTCTCGAACGAAGATTTATGAATGTTTCGACTCATTCATTCATCGGCCTGCTGAGATTCCTCCTGCGGCAGCGATAGAAGTTCCAACAAATTCACCACCATCAGACCTCAGGAGAAAGCCCGCTGAATTTTCGGTAGTCCCGACACGCTGTTCGGGACATTAATGGGCAGTGTATCAAGGTGAAAGCTCCCGCGCAATATGCATGCGGTGTTCTCGTAAATTACACTCGGTCTGGCCGTAAGTGCCCGAGGCGATTGTATCGGTGAAGCGGCGGGCGGCGGTCGGCAGTTTACACCGCCGAAATTTGGCCGCAGGACCAGAGCGATACTGCGGCGGAAACGGCGGTACGAGGCACAGAAACGTAACGACTCGGAGACGGTCATAGCAGGGTGCACCGTGCTGAAAACATTTCGTGTATACCATAGAAGACAGAGCGATTGAAATACCTCATACATCCTTGAAGTGACACCAATTTAGAATCTTGTTTGAAATGTTAATTGGGAGTGAAGAGAAGCAAACCACAAATTACCCCATCCAATCTCATTGACAAGTTACGAGGAATCCAAACGCACGGCTAAGTTGCATGCTTAATCACCCCCCTTACGTAACTACAAATCCTGTAGGTACTAGCTTCTGATTATATCGCAGTCAATCCATTAGACAAAATTAGTATTACGCAAATAGCCAAATGTGTCAAAGGCCCTTTAGCGGGTTATAAAAATGCAATAAAACACGGGAGGCGAGGCCAAGATTTCGAACTGGGTGAATGTTCCATCACCACGCCAATGCATCAGTCCCTCTGTGTTTCTGATCTATTGCTAGTTACAACGGCGAAAGTTGCTTTTTAATGGCATTGCTTTAAAACAGAAGCTGTACTAGAATTTTTGTTCGAGCTTTATCCATCTCTCCAGAGACCAGTGGATTTTGACTTTGTGGTGTTGTTTGAATATATCCTGATGATCACTGATAGTCGTCGGTACATTCTTTCATTGCCAGTTGGATTCGCTCATTTCGTGTCGTTCGGTACGAAACTCGTGAGTCACCGACGATCTGGGAACCACCCTGATCATGGGTAACAGCTGCGCGCTGGGGATGGATGATTTGGAGCGGCCCGCGCTGCCAGACGCCGGCGAATCGGGGGCGAGCGCCACAAAAACATCCCACCTCGGAGATCCGTCACCACGCGAACAAAGGACGTGAAAATCCGCCGTTCGGTCCCCGGACCGAGCGCCGAGAACATCGTGCGATCATGGCGAGGCATGATCACATACTGGGTGAGAACACGCACCGGTGCGGATCACAGACCCGTGCCGGTGGGTGTGTTGATGGACCGTGCGCGCCGGCTCACCACGCGGTGTGGCGGCGCGCGGTGGCGGTCGTTCCACTCACCTGCGTTCACTAGAGCGAGAACGGCAGCCAGGAGCAGCGCGGCGGCCCACTCCGCACCCATTCTCCTACTGCGAGTCTATCACCTCACATCTCACACCAGCGCGTCACCAGCACCACTGCACTGCGCGCACCACTTCACTAACACACATCAGCACCACGCGCCAGTCCCGTCACGGCCACCTGCGGACGCCGGGCGGCGCGTACCCTCCCCTTGCCGGTCTGGGAGCGACTGATCGGCTCCGCGTCCGCCGACGGACGGCCGACCGCCGCCGACCGCCGCCGGTCCGCCGGTCCGCCGCCTCAGCGCCGGCGGCAGCCGCGTGCGGCGGCGCGCGCCGGGGCGTCCACCCGGCCACCCGACCGCCCGAGTCAGCGCCTCTGGAGGCGACTCCAGTGAATGTCGGCAGTCGGAACGATCGGTAAATACCTGGTAATGAGCCGAGCAGACGTCGGCGCGCCATAACAAGGGAAGATGTTGGCTGTTTTGACGTGCACTGCCGCCATTGGAATGCGTCCCGGCGAGGCCGAGAGACTCGAGAGGTAATTACCCTAATGCGACCTCCGTTGAGGCCTTTCATATCTTTCTCCGGCAGGCCGGCAACTTCTGCTTGAGGCTGCATCACAGAAGCTACAAGACTACCCGCTCAAGTACGAAGAACAGTGAAGTTTGCGTTCCAAGTGGGGGGTTTTCAAGTTATGACGACCTTCCACGCACTGATAAAGCGTGTGTATATAGAACGTATTGACTCCTATTCAATACCAGCCACGCCACGGCCACAGCTGCTGCCAAAATCACACCCTCGTCGCGCCGCGGGGGGCGAGAGGGGAGACGGGAGACCGCCACGGGCGTCCCCCAGGGATCACGCGCCACGAGGTGACACCCCGCCACGTGCCCCGGAACTGCCGTCAGCGTTCGCCGGGCGCCCCTGCGCCCCCGACACTCCCAAAGGCGCCCCTGACACGCCCAGTGTGGTCCAGACAGGCGCTCGACGCCCGCGGGGGTCGGCTCTCTGGTGCGGATTCCTGCTGGGTCCCGACGCGTCCTGTCAATCTCAGGAACACCACCCGTGTAGGCACTGTCGTTGACGTGACATTTTAGTCGTCAGGTGTCGCGCTGGTCCTCAGGGTGTGATTGACGTGTACGTAGAAGAATCTATGCTACTTATAGTTACTCCTGAATTTCATGAAGCAATGCGACCGGCTGCCGTCTCCGGCAGGTCACCGATGGAATCCATCCTGCCCACAAGCTTCTCGCGTCTCCGATTTGTCGCAATTAGCTCCACATGCCACCGTCATCCCGGCGCGTTTGTCGCCATCGCGCCACGGTCGTCTCGCCAGGCGTCAGCGCAGGGGAGGAGGCCGACCCTCTGTCAGGGTAATCGATCAGACGCGGGGCAAGCTGCCGTAAAAAGGCCCGGCGACACCACGGGGAGCGATGGGGAGAGGTGGTCGTCCGCGCCACGACCGCCACCACGCCCGGAGAGCGCGCCGGAAGTGCCGCAGTCGACACTCGACGGCCCGCGGAGGCGGAATGGGGAAACAGGAGCGAAGAAATGATGAGGTACGCAGGGCGCCGCTGCGGAGTGTTTTTGCAGGCAGCGGATGACGAATGTCTCTGAAAGATGGTGGGCGCTCAGATCCGATAGAGACAAAAGAAACGGACTTTGTGGCTTACAAAGTGATATTGGAATTTGGAAATATCAGGGCCAGGATTCCACAAGGCAATTGTTCCCTTCTATTGCTAGAAGTAACTTATTTAAATTTCACAATATAAATTCATAAAACATTGAAGAGTGTATAGCTGTAATATAAACGTATAGTACATAGGCACGCACAAGGTGTTTTTAATAAGGACGTTCTGCCATCCGAGTTTACAGTAAAACTCCCTTTCACATTCTGAAAACACAAACTTTGTCTAGCAACTTTCGGCAGCTCGTCTCAGCCTTCAAGCCCGTCGCAGTGCAGGACGTCTTCCCTGCATTTTCCGACACTCTTTGTGCGACGCTGTGTTTCCCCAGTTAATCAGCCGTGCCCTGGAGCGCGCTGTCCTGAACTCGGTGTCAAGCTTGATCAAAAGTCATTGAAGATTACGTCGTGGCCGTCGTCCGAAGCTGGGCTTTGATTAGCTGAGTTTAAACTCAAACAAGCTCGCTGATTCACGGTGCAAAATCACTGACCCGAGAACACTTAAACTTCTGGATGAAGACGGGATAGAATCGAATTACGCTCGGTAATTATCATCAATGCATCTAATACTTTCAACCAGCTATAAAAAAATTGGTAAGCATTATAGTTAGATGACATTAATTAGAGGCATATCCATTATCCATAGTCACGCCTATAGACAACACCACAAATGCTTCCCCAAAATTTAGCATCACGTTAGTACCTTTACGTAATTGCAAAAGCGTTGCTGAACACAGAGCAGCCCATTTCTCTTAGGACCTGACGCCTTATTCGGATTCACTGTCGGAAATATCGGAGCGCTATTCAATTCTTCCCCGAGTTTCACGACTCGGACTGGCTAATTATGTATTCTGTTCATCTTCCTTGATGACAAGCTCTAAAGTGAGTTACGGCTAATTTGCATGACAGTGTCTTTCATAATACATTTATTCGCATCTCAATTGAAAGGCCTTTACAGTAGTTCGGAAGTGCGAGAGGTAACTACTGGCGGTGGGTGGTCCGATATTCAGTTGAACGTTGTAATTCCAATGCGAGCCGTCCAGTCGGAAAACGGTGCAGACAATTCTACTTCGCAATTTAACAATTTGATTGCCATAGCGAATCAAAACTGCGAATCACATTACATGCCAAGAATAATATATTCCTCATACGAGACCACTAATATAAGTTGTCCTATAAAATATAACTCCTAATTCATGCAGCGAACTCCAAATCATAGGACAGTTCCAATCGTGTTACACGATGCAATAGGTTCCCTTAGTTGGTATAGCGTCACTAGCTGTCCTCTCGTCGATTCTATACCTCAGCGTGATTCTAGGTGCATCCATTCTCAGGGATGCAATTCCAAGCGGCGCCTATCCATCACACACACTCGGGCCGACACATGTCGCGGGCCGGATCAGACGCCTCCAAATGAACCGGCCGCCGGTGCCAGCCGAGACGGACGGCGGGCATTATTCCTGCAGGGGCGGACCGCCGCCCATCTGGTGGGCCCCACTGGACCGCCGTGACCCCCATCTGGACACAATTTATGGCGCCGCAATGCCTCAGACCAGCCTGCCGGCGCCTGAAGCCAAATCTCAACAACATTCGACCAATAGGAAGCGCGACCGCAGCAATTTAGTTCAACGAGCCTGCAGCCAAGTCTCGGCCTTTTCTTGGAAACCACATTTACTAAATGAGCAAAAAGATAAACGGCCTTTTCTGAGGTCGTTTGTTCGATTAGCTGGTAGAATTCAAAACTCTTGCCCGTCATAGCAGAGACTTGGCACGCCAATGAACGATCACATTACTTACGGACCTTAAAGACGAGAACAAGCGCCACATTCTTATTTGAGCGGAGTGAAAACCCGGATTGAATTTGCCAAAAAATCAAGCTTTTTTGCAGAAATTGTACGTGGGGTCTGGTCTACCGCGCAATGGATTATTAAAAACGTCCTGACTCCTGTAGGTGAGGTTTGGAAAAGAAAAACTGCGGAGACGCCACAAAACGCCACAAGACTGTGAATACATTCTGAACATGCTGAATACTTCAGAAATTATTCAATAAGTCTTACCGATATCACCAACCGGTTTACGATTTCACAGCGTGTCCGTCAAACCACACGTCAACCCGTAACCCGTATCTCTGCTAACCACAATACAACTTTATCACCGAGTTATCCGGCATTTGATTTACTAGCAGCAGGCAACAATGCTCCGCGGAGTGAGGACACGATAACGTCAGCCGACCCTTTTCGCTTCGCTTCTTTGTAGGATCGGCCTGCCGTCAGGGGCGATTTCGGCCGTGCAGTGCTTCTGGGTTTGGCCTCCTGTGATTGGCGATACGCCCGCAGCAGTAGTTTGTGAGCGTTGGCCTACCGCCAGAGGTGATTTTGGACGTTGTGGCTTATTTCGGGGTGGCTGGTTGGTGATCGGCTTCTTCTTCTCGGAATGCTCTGCAATAAAATCCTCACGAACAACAGAACCTTTTTATTTATTTTTATTTTTTTATTTTTTTTTATTTTTTTCTTTTTTTATATATTATAACCTTTTTTTTCTCTCTCTCTCTCTTTTTGTGGGCTTTTTTTTTTTTTTTTTTTGCCTCTTTTGCCTCTTTCGATATCTTCGACACATATTTTCACACACAATTAACAGTCGCACTCATACAGGGAATATGCAGAGATTCACACTTAAGTGATTTCTTTCTTTCTTTTCTTATTATTATTATTATTATTATTATTTTTTTTCCCTCTGCTTTTTTTTTTTGCGTGGGGTTGGGGGGTGGGGGGGGGGGGCCAGCCCGGGAGGCGAGCGGCACGTCTCGAAGTTGGAGGTGGCGCCGCCCCCGCCCCCCAGGCCAGCCCGTGTTCCTTCTTTGTTGATGCGTGGGGGGCAGCCCGGGAGGCGAGCGGCAGATCCCGAGGTTGGAGATGGTGCCGCCCCCGCCCCCCGGCCGCCCCGTGGTTCCTTCTTGTTTGTGCGTTTCTGCCGGCCCGGGAGGCGAGCAGCAGGTCTCGAAGTTGGAGACGACGCCGCTCCCGCCCCCCAGGCCGGCCCGCGGCTCCTCTTGTTGATGCGTGGTGGGGGGGGGGGGGGGGCCAGCCCGGGAGGCGAGCGGCACGTCTCGAAGTTGGAGTTGGCGCCGCTCCCGCCCCCCAGGCCGACCCGCCCCCTCTGTGCTTTTCTGCCGGCCCGGGAGGCGAGCAGCAGGTCTCGAAGTTGGAGACGATGCCGCCCCCGCCCCCCAGGCCGGCCCGCGGCTCCTCTTGTTGATGCGTGGTGGGGGGGGGGGGGGAACGGCCCGGGAGGCGAGCGGCAGTCTCGAAGTTGGAGTTGGCGCCGCTCCCGCCCCCAGGCCGACCCGCCCCCCTCTGTGCTTTTCTGCCGGCCCGGGAGGCGAGCAGCAGGTCTCGAAGTTGGAGACGATGCCGCCCCCGCCCCCCAGGCCGGCCCGCAGCTCCTCTTTCGTTGATGCGTGGTGGGGGGGGGGGGGCGGCCCGGGAGGCGAGCGGCAGTCTCGAAGATGGAGTTGGTGCCACTTCTGCCCCCAGGCCGACCCGTCCCCCTGTGCTTTTCTGCCGGCCCGGGAGGCGAGCGGCAGGTCTTGAGGTTGGAGACGAT